GGATTCTTGTGCAGCCCTAAGGTACTCGCGAGCGTTGAGATTGGCGAGGACAGTGTTGCAATACAACGGGCCAAGAAGATAGTAGATTGTTCCATATATTTCATCACTACCAACAATCGACTGAAGACGTTCATTCAAGATAGGATAGGAAACCAAGTAGAAACTTAGACTTGGATATTTGGACTCACCCCAACAAAAACTGCTAGAGCAACAGATGCTGTCCAAAATCCGGAGTTTATGGTCAAAGTAATCAGTCTGACAATCATCACATGCGACCTGGCAAGAAATCTTGAGTATATGCAAGTCACAGTACACAATAAACTAGGATGCTACCCAGTGATTCCCTTTGACTCCTTGAAAAGCCAATATGTCATGCAAGCAGCAATCCCAGCATCAATAGCGACAGGAAATGCATTAGATGCAATTGTCGGACTCTATGTCACAATCCCCACATTAGTCAACCAACACGGTGGATAGCCAGGAAAATAATACAATGAATGACTTGGCTTTTAATTGCTGATTGTTGTGTGTAGCAAAGCTAGTAGGTATAGACTCATCAGTACTCCGTGAACTTATATAAAATATGACATACGAGATCTTAAGAGCAACTGAAAGAAATCCATGAGCAGTCACGTTTGAAGTTGCGTCGAAGTGCTTACTCGCTTCTACAACTGAATAAGTAGCGGGTCAATGTCAACAACACTTGGCATACCAAAGAGCACTCACCCAGTTGTCCGATGATCAAAGGGAGCTTTACGAGATTCCGGATAAAATCGGATGGTATCAAGGTGTTAAATCTCATTGTACTCACAAATATCATAGGAAATAACAACCGCCTGCTGGTGACTATTTAGGGAAAGTTAAATGCTCAAATGTAAAAATACAAGACAAATACAAGAAAAGTTACGCACATATATAAAGACGATATGTAAAGAAGCATTGGGTTATCAAAGCAGCGAGAACCTAAAGCGCAGAAATTTAGCCAGATGACCGAGTTCAGTATTAGGTAGTATATATCCTACATACTGTCATCAAAGCCTGGACCTTAAGAGGAACCATTCAATTTTAAGTAATCTCAGCGGCCAAAGTATGAACAAGCGACGTACAGAGGACTCTCTAACAAAGCTTATCAGTAGACCACAGGTATAAGTATAAGAAGAAACCAACATTGGATCGACAGATAATGCAGCAGGATTTCCCCAGGATGTGATCAAGAGAAAATACTCTGAGGGAGAATATGAGATATGGAGAGTCATTTCCAGTGAGAAAAGCTGCTTACCTGGCTGAATGACACAGACGTGCTGGACAGTCAATATGGACCTGGAATTTCTGGCATGAGCCCAGTAAATGTGTTGTATCTTACTGGAATAGCTCACCACAAGACTACGACCTAGTATGTTCTCCTTGGTCGAAAGTGATTCAGATGGGTGATTGCAAAAGGATACATACCAGGATTTTAAAGATAGCCTTGTCTTTAGGATAACTGACAAAGCGTAAGGGGCCGTAATTTGTATCTTGTTCTCTCACATACTGGATAAAATAGGTAAATCTGTCAAGGGTACATTAGTGGCCGATCCATATAGGCAAAAAATTGTTTGCACATTTGCAAGCACGAGATCCCCCACAACACCGAAACGACGTGAGTGGAAATGTACAATCCACCATCGATTCCACTGAGATCAAGAGCTAAACCTGGGACTGGTAAAGTAGCAGGGTTACTAGCCATGTTTGTTGTTTTTGAAAAAATTTTAGGTCTTAAGTACTCAAAATCAAGGCTAAGATCACTTACGAGCAAAGTGGTTACAGTTAGGGGTTAGGGGACTAGGGGTTGCTTATGAAATTGCTCTGTATCTGTCAAGACTGTTCTATACAAGTTCTCCAAATAGCGGACAATCCTCAATTCTTTGCTTCACTGATAGTTTCACCGGATCCCTGTCTAATCCCTGTAGTCACCAGTTCGCCGCAAAAATATCTATAAGATTGACAGAAACAGAGAAACCCTTGGTCGATGATCATCGATATCAAGTGTTTTGAAGATGTCTCCATATCATTCCTTGAGATTCGGACAGGCCCTTATACATCAAGTATTCACTGAAAGTGCCCAGTCGCCGCGGGCCCGACTTTCGGCATGCCAACTTGTCTTTGTTGAACAAAGATGGAGACTCAGAGAAAGTTCATACTACATTGACTCTAAGTATACTTCCGATCGTCGTCAGTGTAGTATAATTGAGGGCATCGCCTCTATGTTTTTCTTCTCCCGTAGGCCTGAGAGTTGAGTGAGCTTTTCAATTTTAGAACGCTCGACTATTATGGTAATTACTTCCGTACTTTGTGGGAACGTATGCAAACTATCTTATCGTTGGTGCTGTTTCACTATGGCCATAAAATAATCCTCATCTGTTGTCGCTTGCACATATATATATAAACCCTTGTACAATCAAAGCCGGTTTTTGCGGAAAATTCCTTCTTTGGCGAGTACTAGTATAGTGCCACAGAATTCGGCATGCACATTATTCAATAAATAGTAGGCCACATGCCGAGGAAGAAGGTGAGGGGAAGACTGGGGAAGAGGAAGCAACTGATATGTACAGGGGTAAAGATGGCGCAAATCGACACCAAGGCATCACTCATGTCTCTACTCTCGCTCCAAAAAACACCTCCGTACAGCGTAGAGGACCCTTCCTTCCTTGATAATCGCATGGGTATTCTTTCAATATTTTATTTCGGCGGTGCTTTGAATGGGCCAGCTACGAAGTGCTTGCTAGAAGCCATTTTAAGGTACCACTCAAGTCCAGTAATAAAGATGTTGCTCACGCATGGTTACTTGATAGCCTAGCGGACTTATATGCTTCAAACTATTTCAGAGAGGACAGCTGGGGACAAAAGATGTTTCTCAACGGACTCAACATTATGGAATTAAAACGGTTAATCATGGAACTTGAACTGTATCTCAAAATCATTTCCGAAATTAAAAATATATTAAGCCCCGGCAGACCCCCGCTCAGCGCTCATTGGAGGGAGGTCAGTGGGATATGGCGCTATGAAGATGGACTACTTTGACAGCTCAGAAATGTGTCGTCAGTCCGATCAGCGTTGGCGTTGGTCTCTGACCCCGAAAGCTGGCCTCTGCTCTTGGGAACATGGTCTGTTTGTAGATTATCTCTCGATGGCGGTCATTCGATCAGTCTCTTTCCCAGTTGAACATGGCCAGGTTATGCATAGGGTATGCTGTCTGTACCCATGAAGACTCGTATACTGACAAGTTCGCAATTTGTCACAGCGTTTGTAAGATTCTCGTCTCGCGTTTTTCGTCTCGCCGCGGATACCAATTTGTCGGGTTATGTCCAATTACATACAGCCTTTCTCATTTCAGGGATCATCCGCTGCGTCGCCGATTCACCCCTGCGGAACTGGCATGGAGGTACTCTCATTTCATGGCCCAGACAATTGCGATCACCAAGCGATCACTGTCGAAGACGAAATTGTTGCTCTAGAGTATCGCGCCGGATTCAAGAGCACTGGCGCGGTATGGCGGTTGCTGAAATGTCTGTGCTTGTGTTTCCCATGTGGCAGGATCCACTAAACTGGGCGGGGTTGAAAGAATATGGGACCAATACGAGGATTCTTCGGATGACTTGTGAGCCGAGACGCAGTGACTCCGTTCAAGACCTGCCCATAGAGCGTCAAGTACCAGCAAGTACCTGCTACTTTACAACGAAATAGAGCTCTCAATGTCAAAAAATATGTGAGAGAATCGGAGTTATGCGGCGGATCGCCATCTGCAAAGTTTGAACGTTTGAGTCACCATGTTTTATTTTGGTCCATTTTGCATATTTTTACGAGTCGGTTAGAGCGGAATCTCAATCCCCCTAAGTTTTGGTTAATTGAGTGATTCGCGATATCAGACGCACCGTTTTATTCTCGTGGAATGAATAGAGCCAGATTCTTTATATTTGGACGACGTCATTGGTCAATATTCAGGTCACGTGCCAAGCCGCCGAAAGCCTATCTGGCGACAACACATATCTAGTTGTGTCCCGCAGTCCGGAGGCTCCAACAAATAAACATTCCATCCCTATGACAGACAACCCAAAGAACACTCCGGGAATCCCTACGACAGACGATCTATACACTGTCCAAGGAAGGGGCCTTGAGCTTGAGGCGAACAGGCTACAGATCTATGAAGGAACTCATTTTCTTGCTGGTCATAGGCAGCTGTTATGCTCATCGCTCTAGCCAATCGACTGCAGTGGTCATTATTTCGGCGCTTTATCCTCTCGTATACGTCTGTGTCTTGTCCTTCACTAATATCTAGCATCACATGGATTACATCGCTCCCGTACTTGGTACATTTCTTGCTTAACCCGCCCCCTCAGCCAATCTGCCATTAGTCATACCCAACCATGTTACGCCTCAGACTCAGGGTATCCTACAGAACTTCTCTGCCTACTTCGCAGGCCTCCTGTACATGTCTGCCTTCTGCATCCATTCATGCTCAGAGCGCTTCCAACAAGATCAAGATCATCCGAGTCTTATACGGAGTATGTTCGAATATTATCGCAATTTCATTGAGCTAATTTTATTATTTAGGGTTCTTCTACCCACGTTGTGAGCAACTTTCGTTAGAGAAGCTAGCTGCCACTTTAGTAATGCTGATGAGCAAGGATTGCTTTTTTATTCTGATACTAAATAAAGCACCTATAATCAAGTTAAAAAGTTGACCGCTGCATCTGGATTACTTAGGATGACCAACCTCCGCATAATTTTGCTGCCTCCATTGACACAAAGGATGTCTGTTCCGCTGCACTGTGAGCAAACTAGTTACTGTTTGCCAAGTATTGCAGCCAGGGCACTCTGGTACAATTATGCAAGCAACAAAAGTAGTATCTTCAGGAGCAAAACGAGGACGATTCGTCTATGACTTTTCCTACCGTTTGCTCTTTGCGTGCAACGTAACATAAAAAAGAAAAAAAAATGAACGCCACAATTGTGCACACCAGTGACCACCGCAGGACTCGAACCTGCAACCTTTTGGTAAATCATCCAGCACTCGAAGCCAAACGCGCTACCATTGAGCCTTTCATGTTGAGCGCTAGCCGTACCTTCGGAATCTTCTGATGAAATTGATGAAAAGCTCTGAAGTAAGTTAATGATAAGTCTACTAGCTCGTTCGCTGTTCCGCCGCTTTCTCCGCCATAGCATACAGAATATCCCTATCGTTCGACTGATCAACAAGAGAGCGCAACTTTCCATCCTTGTTCCGTAGTAAAGCCTGCGGGCTGTCAAACTCAACCTAGATGGGTGTTTTTTTAAACAAAGTGATGAGCAAAGAGGGAAGAGAGCTCACAATCCGTCCGGCGTCCAAGACCATCTGTAAGACAAAAGTAAAACAGAGTTATATGAAAGCAAAGATAAGCTCGAGAGAATACACGCACAATTTTGTCGCAGTCCTGCAAGCAAGAGTGGTAAGTATATGCGTAAGATAACACAAGACAAACGTACCATAATTGTCTGTAGCCGATGGGCCACGGTGATAAGGGTAACATCGCCTTTGAGTTCATTTCGGAGTGAATCTTGGATTATAGAATCCGTTTTGTAATCTAATGTCCGAAGGTCAAACATATTCGTTTCGTGATGCAAGATGGCTAACCTATTGCAGACGTTGCTAGAAATAGCGAAGTTTAGACGACGTACGAAGGGATAAGAGGAAACTGACCTTCGTCCAAAATCAGTAGTTTTGATCCTCGGACAAGTGCTCGACTCAAAGCCAATATCTGCGTAGGATAATGAATATTGAATACACTGGTTATAATGAAATTTGACCCATACTTGACGTTGCCCCACTGATAGATTGGCCCCTGCACTTGAGATGGAGCTGTCCAGCGTGATACGACCTTCATCCATCTCGCTCTGCAGAGCGAAAAGGCCGGCAGCGCGCAAAGCATCGTTTAATACCGCGTCATCGTACTGATCGAATGGGTCGAGATTTTGTCGCAGTGAGCCACTGAGGAGCTCGGGCTACGTTGCCGTGAATAACTTGTTTAAATGATGCAAAAAAGGAAGATGCTCACAACTTGAGGTATGATTGTGATATTCGAGCGTAAAGCGTCGAGGTTAATCTCATTGGTAGGAAGTCCGTCATAGTAAACCGTTCCTTCAGTGATTATGCATCGCAACAGCGACAAGGTCAATGAACTTTTTCCGGAGCCAGTTCGACCAACTTTTTTGATATGTGTAAGGAAAGAACCATGCATGGACTAGGAAACGACTCGCCTACTCCCACTCGTTCTCCTGAACGAATGTGGAAAGATATGTCATGCAGGACTTTGGGACCATCTAGAGAATATCGAGCTGAGAGCTTCTCCACCCGAAGCTCCCCGCTCGCTGGCCAGTATGCCGGAGGTACAGCATCTTTAGTGGGTTTTGGCTCTTGTTCGATGTTGATATAGCCTTGAATACGCTCGAGACTAGTTCATAGCAATCAAGACCCAAGCAAATATCTTGCACATTAACGATAACGAACCTGTTTCCTGAATTAATACATTAGTTGAGCTCCAGCGTTAAACTTGAAGAAACTAACCTTGTATTTCAAACTCGTTCAGTGTACGAACCCACCATAAGATCAGCGAACTGAACCCGACGGCCATATTGAGACTGAATCCCGTATTGGAGGCAGATTGCCCACGGTAATATACCAAATACGCAGCGAGTGCCGAGGCAAGGAGCCCTCCAAGAAGATCGATCCGAACGCAAACCCTTGCATGCCATCAGTCAATTGAAAACACGGAATGTAGCGAACAAACCATCTGTTCAAGTTGAAGAAGGTTCTTGATGCACGAGTGAACTTGTTGATACGTTTCAAAGACTCGGCTTTGAAGGCTTCCTGAACACCGTAGGCCCGGATGGAAGCTGATGAATGTCAGTTGGCAGAATGTGAAGAGGAAAAAGGCACACACTGAGTCCGGCAATAGCAGCACCAAAACTGATCGCTGTTCAGCGCAAGGGTAAGTCGAACAGAAAAAGATTACTCACTGTCCAAGTACAGGCGCTCTTGCATTCGACATCTCTCGTTTGACCGACAGCTGCGCCTTGATGTACATCTGTCCAATGCCACCTCCTAGAACAGCAACGATAACACCAGGGAAGAAAAATATGGGTGTGATCAAGACAACCGCGGTATATTTAAGAAGCATCATCATTGAAATCTCAGTAAAAATTGACAGCCACATTGGCACAGGACCGTCCACAGCACGCATATCCTGTGTACAGCGAGTAATGACGCGAGAAGTGGGAGTAGTATCCAACCATCTGATCGTACTGTGAGTGAGGATTCGTTGTACAGTTTACAGCAGTTTTACCTTAATGTGGTCCCAAAAATCGAGGCAATCAGTTCTTTGTGAATTGCTCGAGATGCACGAATTGTCCCAAAAATGTAGACGAAAACGCCGATCGCATAGATAATCGATGCGGCAGCCACGAGGGAACCTAAAAGGAAACCAGTCAAGCAATAGTTTTCAAACGTTGTCGCATTGGCGGAACCTACAATAGATGCCAATGTAACTTGTAGACAATGTTCGATTTCAGGCCACCACAACTAAGAAATATCACTCACTGGAAAACATCAACGGAGGCGGGATCACGAGTCTCATACTGACTAGACCAATATCCCAGAAACCAGTTGTAAAAAGCATTTATAGCCTCGGTCACAAATATCGCGAATACGAAAGCTAGGAAGACTGCGTATGTGTATTTCCCGCCCATTGAGGTCAGATACATTTTCACTGTTGGAAGGAAGCTGAGCACAACAAGACGCTGTCTTGAAAAGAAAGATTCACAAACCTGCGGACCAACTCACATGCCCCTCTTGAATTTCTTCAGCCATGATAAGTTTTCCATCAGATTTTTCTCCAGCAGGAGGTTGCTCGTCAAAATTTTCTTCGGTCTTTTCAATAACTTGCTGCTCAATTCTTGCTTCCTCCGCAAGGACAGAGTCCATGCCGAGAGCTTCAGACACAGTGCCTTGACTTTCGATACGTCCTTCTTTGATTGCTACGACAAAGCCAGCGATCGGCCGAGTGATGGCAATGTTGTGAGTCTAAAGAACCGATAAGCTCGAAAATCCCACTTATCGCTGAAATACTCTTACCACCAAGATAATCGTTCTACCTTCCATCAAGTCACCGGTGAAACATTTGTCAACGATCCATTTAGAAGTATGTACACTAAAGCAAAAGTCAGTTTGGAAATCCAAATCATCCGGAAAAGTGCTTACTCAAGGGCAGCCAGAACATCATCTAGCAAGAGAATTTTTGCACTAGAGTAAACTGCCCGGGCCAGTGTGACTCGAGCCTTCTGTCCGCCACTCAAGGTAAGGCCTTTTTCGCCAATCTTTTATTGTTAAACAAATCAGTGTTCGGTAGGCTTCGTGGCACCAAACTGGCTCACCTCTGTCGCATCTCCGGCTTCGAACAGCGTAAGATCACGCTCAAGACCACACTGGTAGAGGACTTTTTGGTATCGCTCCTCGTCAAAAGGAGAGCCAAAGACGATATTTTCCTATGTGACGCCAAGCTATGAATGAATAATGGATTAAGCAAACAAAATCGGTACCCGGAAGGTTTCATTCTGCACCCAAGACTCTTGTGCAGCGTAAGCAATACCTTCATCTCGCGGAAGATTATACCAAGAGTCAGGACCGGAAGGGATGAAGTGCATCTCGGAGAGTAACGCCATTAATATGGACGTTTTTCCGCTGAAATCGCCGATAGGTCAGTGGCTGGCCAAGGACTCGGAAAATCGGGACTTACGAGCCAGTCTCACCAATGACGAGATTAACGCAGTTCTTCTTGAACAACAGATCCCCTTCAATTCTGAGTGTGAACTTGCGTTTCGAGGGAGTAAGAGATCCATCCGCGTCCGAGGACCATGCAAATGTGGCATTGCAGAATCCGATTTCTTGCGAGTCGGGTACAGCATCAGCAGGCACGAAGAAACCACTCTCCTTTTCAGTAAAAGTGTCGAGAAGCTCCGTCTGTCGAGAGATCAATACAACGACTCAACGAACCTGCTCGAGAAGTATGGCGTACGTTTTTTAAAAAGTCGTCGACGCGGTCGAGTGATACTTTGCCAGCCACAGTATCGTTGAGAGACCTGAAAAGTATACGCATTTGTTCGCGCAGCATGTCGAAGACGGTCATGGAGCTGTAGATGACTGAAGCTCTGATAGTCTGCTTCATAAGGACGGACTATAAGATATATAAGTATGTAGCGGACGCGAAATCAATCATCGTTTCACTAACGCTAGATAAGATAAACGCTCAGGATATGAAAAAAGAGGGAATTAAGCGCGGAAAGACTTACTAGGTCCAGAAAGTTGTAATCATAACCACTACTGGTATCTATTTCATCAGGTCAAAGATTGAGCAAAACAGCGCTGGGTTAGGACAACTCACGATATAACTGCAAGAGCAAATTGATCAGAGAGAAAGGCTGAATAATTTGCGAGAAATTACCCACGTTGTTATATCATTGATAATCTCTAAAATCTGGCGTCTTCTGATCCAGACTACCTCCTCGTCTCTTTTTTCCGCGATCTTACCCTCCATTTTACTCTCCCAGCCAAAAAGTTTGATCATCCGCAAAACATTCATGGCTGAATGTCAGATAAAATGAGAGACTAACAGGAAAATTATTTAAGGCAACGTACCTTCACTAACAGACTGAACCCTTGCATCTGTCTTCTTCAGCCTCTGTTCCTGTGCGACCTGAATCCACTTGGCGATAAATCCCGGCAACGGGAATGAGATGACTATCACGGCCAAACCAACGAATGCGCTCCACCCAAGTACGAGATACAGGAAAACTATACAGAGTATGATCTGTACAGGAATGTACAGCACGACGAAAAGAAAATCACGCCCGTCGATTACACTACCCCCAAAGGTGTAAGTTATACTTGACATAGAAAAAGAAACCCTATGGACTGACTTTTCTAGATCAGTAGTGACTAAATTGTTGATCTTCCCGATCAGGTTACTAGCGTCGGATTTGGGTTCGTCGCTTTTTGTTGGTTTCTTCGAGGA